AGAGTGCAAAGTCTCTGTAATAAACTGAGTTACAGTTGCCTTCTCTCATGTTCCTCTACAAACAAAATTATTCTTGGTAAGGTATATGGGACATAGAAGAGGTTTTGCTGTTGGTATATATTTACTTTAATTTAAGGAAAGAATGAAAGTATTTTCCCCCTATGTTGTGTGTCTATTGTTTCAGATCCTTGATCAGCCAGTCTTTACTTAGAAGTTGCAAAAGACTATTGGAAATCTATGAGGTTGTGTTACCGTGGTTGTTTAAAATAGGGCCAAATAGCATTTATAATCCATGTGTTGTAATAGTCACTGTATCTCTGAAGATAACCCTTTTGTGCAAAGAGGAAGATGCTGCTTTATCACAAGCCAAAGGAGGGGTTCCAGCACTACTGGGATTCTCTGAATGGATCCCCATCCCCTGAGGTGGGGATGCTATGCTCACCTTGGTCTCTCCTATGTGAATGCCCCATTGAGTTAGGATCAGGGTACTGCTTAAAGATCAGGAAAAGGTAAAGACAGCTAAGGTCTGGTGTATTTGAGACTGAACTAGAGTGAAAGAGAGGTGAAAAGTCAGTGATCTTAGCTCATCTGTCACAGACACTGTTTGACCTGTTCACATCTCTGTTCCTCTGTTTAACCTACCTATCATGGCAGTTGTTCTCCACCTGCAAAGATTATGAATAATGTGTCTATTAAATAACACCAGGTGTTATGCCTGGTGCCTTCCAAGACAAATACACAAGCAAGTATTTGTTAATAGTTGCTCTGCTCCTTGTTTCCAGAAGGAAAAAGGAGAGAGGAGCAGACTGTCTTTGTGATAACCTCTTGTACCGCAGCAGAACCTGTCAGAAGAGGGCTGCAAACCATTAGGAACCCCAAGGAGAGACTGCAGAGCCCTTCAAAACTGCTGGTATGGCTAGGACAGGCACCTCATGAAGAGTTCCCTTCTTTGCATTTCAGGAATTAGCATAACATTAAGTATCTTTGAAGTAACACCAACCCTCTTTCCATCTTCTTTCCCATGTAACTGTCTTCGGCCTCCCTACCACTCTCACAGTATTTCAAAGAGTTCATTGAAATACTCGCTATGAGACCTTAATATCCTTATTATTGGAAGGCAAAAGATAAATGGCAATCACAGAGCTAAAATTATCTGTTTTTTCTAGTTTTAGAAACACAAAAATGTACAGCAAATACTTATATAAAATTCAGGTAAAATACAGGCCAGAATGCTCCAGAAGGAAATAATTTTTATATTTCTATAAGTGGACTAAGAACAGCATTTAAGAACAAGGCTAAGTTATGAAACACATCCTGTAAAGGAGCCATTTTGAAACAGGCCATTGTATTTCCTGTAATTGTTTATCTGATTCCACCAGTATTAATTGATAGCTATTTACTGATACATGAGTGCCCACTTAAGTTTCATCCTATATTAAAGAAATTGATACAACTCAGTGTTGTTGCCTGAAAAGCTAATACAAGGAAAGCTGACAGTAGCAAAGTCTTTCTTTCAGAACATTATTACTGGGGCAGATGCAGCTGTAGGTGAAAGCCTGATCTGTGTAATAGCTAACTCCCACCAAAACAGTCTATCAACAGTGTGTTTGGATGTTAGGAAATTAGGGACAAACAAGCCTTAGATGTTGCTGTTAGGGGAGAGTGAATTTTGGCACTTAGGAGGAATATGGATGCAAATGTAACATGTCATGAGTATATGAAAGTCGGTGCTGTGATCGTGCTTTCCAGCAAACTAGGTTTTCTGTGACCCGGGTCATGGTGGTCTGTTTTTGTATGGCACCAAGGCACCTTAAAGTGTGCTTTACCTAAAAGAGTGGATAACCCCACTGAACATGGGATATATTTGTACACTTGAAGTTTAGTGTAAGTCTCATGTTAAACTTGCCTTAGAAACAAAAGGGGTGTCTTCTGGGGAAAGGAGAGGAATCGTTGTGGTTGAGAAGGAAGGCAAAGACAAATTCTTTGAGAAAGCAGTTATTCCTGTTCCGTGTAGTAATATCCAGGAAAAGAGAAAGCAGGAACGTGTGCTACATCGTGCTGTGGAAGCTGCTCGTGTCTAGACGTGTAATGTGACAATATAAGTCAAATATACAGTACCACAGATTACTGGGATAGAAAAGTGTGTGAATGTGAAGAGGATGGGTACATAATCACAATGAAATTCCATGTTTTTATTCACATTTCATATGGTGAAATAAACAGTAATGTAAATAAAACTGTGATATAAGTATTCTCACAGGAGTTGCATATGTGAGCTTTTGGTATTTGACTTTTGGCATGTAAACATGACAATAATTTCTGTAAGCAGCTAGTGACAATTTCTATGCGTGCTTCTGGGACAGAATTTCTACCAAAGAAGTTGAAAAGCAACTTTTGCAAGGCTCCTATAAACCCCTAGGTCTTTCCATTAAGTCTCAGTGTCTCAGAAGCCCTTATGTCTACAAAGGCAGAAACTGCAGTGCTTTGGTAGCTAGAGGAAGATTCCATTGTATGTATATGTGCTTGCCTCCATGTGTGTGAGGTAATAGAAAAGGGAATATACAGGTTTGGAAAATACAAATGCAAGCCTGTTCTTGTGCTGCCGTTGACTGTTTAGTTGCTTAGAGCATTGTGGTTTATCCTGAAAAAATGAGGGTTACAAAAGTGTATGCTTTGGAAACTTTACTTAGACAAGGTCCTGGTGCAAGACAGTAAAAGTTCAATCTGGGCTGGAGTGGTTTTTTTAATGGATTGCACTTGGCACGAGGAAGAGAAAGTTATCGCAGTTGGTAGCAGGGAGACACAGTGTTTCTTTCCCCATACAAACCAAAGTGAACATATATCCTCTAATTTCCTATGGCCTATGTCAAGAAGAGTATTCATTGCTAATTTAAAACCATACAGAAAGGTAAATGCAGGGACCAATTTTTTTCCCCAAGAGTTTGCACAGGAAAATAATTAAAGGCAAACATTGCATGTTATATACTGGTCTGCATATGGCATTCTTTTGTTGCAGATTACAGACCCAGTAGCCCGATCCTGCTATCACTGAAGTGAATGGCACATTTCCTATTGATTTCAGGGAAAGAAAGAGCAGACTATAACCCAACAGGAGTTGTAGGTGAAAGCTGCTCCTTTAGAAGTATGCCACCCATTATATTTAGGCTCCCAAATTACTTTTTCTTAGTGTTCTGGGAAGTAGATGGACACAAATTGTCCATATTAAAAGTATAATGAGGATTGTTTAAAGATGTAAATGTTGTCTTAAACATTGCTGAACCAAAAACATAAAAGATTCTGCCAGTGTGTGAAAGTGAAACTAGCTGAGAGCAAAAGTGAAACCAACAGGCAACTCTCCCTTTCCCAGGCTGAGTGAAATGCAGAAATCCTAAAGTGCTGATGCTTAACTAAATTTGAATTTAAAAATTACCTTTACTTTTATTAGTGTGAGAAAGTGTTGCTAGTGATGTAGATGAACATTTCCCCCAAGACAGGTGTTTTCTCATGATGGTATATCTTTAAAAAGTCAGAACCAATTTAAAATGTCAATTTTTTCTTTATAATATTTAGGGGCATCTCTATACATTACCCTCTTTTTCTTACACATTTTCCTTTTGCATGCATTGCATCACAGACTTGTAAGTCATGTACCCATAAGATTATGACAGAAGCATGTGCTAGAGCAGGACAGAATTGACTTTGCTTTACAAAAGTACTGGTGACTGTAATAAAAAAGTTTCTAGAGAAGGAAAAAAAAAAGTATCTTTAAAAATATATGAAAATGATGGTCAGATGTATTTAATTGATAAAACACAAAAAAATAGCAGTGTAGCGATGTGGAGAGACAGACATTCAGTTCTTCCTGCCCAGTCTAGTAGGATCAGCAGCAGACAAATGTACAGGAAAGTGGGGAAATACCAAACAAAACAACAGCAGAGGGTAAAAAAAAAAATCATTGGATGCCATGGACAAAAAGAGAGAATGGAGGAAATAAGTGGTTTAGATAAGTTAACTTTGTGCAAAATTCTTCCTTGTTTCACATTTGTCAGTGTCTAGGAAATTGTGTGTAAAAATACTTGTGTGGCAACAGTCTGCTATAGATCTAAGCAGTATGAGGAAGGTAAATGCATGGAAGGAAAATGGTATGAGATGACAGATTTTTTTTTTAAGGCAGTTTAGTCATGAATACTACACCCTACAGTGTTGAGGCTTTCTGACCATGATTTATGTTGATAATGCTTATTAAATGACAAACTGAAGCAAGGTGGTTTTTTTTTTTTTTTTTTTAATTTAGCACACTGAATTTGTATTCATTATCTTAAACATTTTTTCATTTTTTCCCTCTCACATTTGTTCGGAAAAGTTTAAAGGGAAAAGTGGTGGGGGTAGGATGATGTATAGACAGTGATTTTAGCTGGTATCTACCTCATAGGTGGAGAGAGGAGATAGAAGTCTCAAAAAACTACAGGCCTATGTAAATTCTGCAGCATCAGAAGTAAGTACAAAATAATAGAAATCACAGAAAAATGGGTAAAGCAAATACCATATTTATCTGGGAAGGTATTCAACTTTTAAAGCAGAGGTGGTAAAAGTTGCTGTGGGAAGAAATATTTCAGGACTTTGTCCCTCATGTAAATGGCTTTTAAAAATTTTTCAGTGTATGTAAAAAAAAATATATATGTTTAAATATAAGATCATACCACTTGTAGATTAAGTATTGCTAAAGAGATGGAGGATGCAGTGATATAGAGGCATCTAAGAACTGAAAAACAGGCCTGGGGAATCTGGTACTTCAACTGACAATGTATGGAGCTAATTTTTGACATGTGTACCTGACTTATCAAAACAAATTTTGAGGACTCAGACTCGAATGTAATAAGAGTTTTTAAAATGCTTTTCAGACTAAAAGATATAAAGCTTTTTGAGGGCCAGATAATTTGAATGAGCAAAAATGTGCCTGGGTATACAACAATTTTAATCTATTCCTTTTTACGTTACAGAGAGTGTGGCACAGCCCCTGTTCTGGGACAGAAGGACGGACGTCCAAGGGACATGGGAATTTCTTCTCAGGTAACCTGCTCTTACTGATGGCTTGAGAGAGAGACAAAAAATAACTTTTCTGTTCAGATTAAATTATACCTGACCTTTTGGCCTTTTAGATTTTGGTGTTTATTGACATTTCAGACAAACATTGATAGTTTTGTTTTATTTTGAGAGAGGTGAGGAGGCAAAGTGTTGTGAGGGAGGGAAGTTAATGCCAAGTCCTTCTGATGTCCGATTGGTTGCAGGAGAACAGCAGTGCTGACAGTGGTATACAGGATTTTCCCATTAAAAGATGCAAATGATAGGATATTATAGAAAGATCAATGTATTTGTGAACTGAGCTGTGTGCTTTCAGTTTGCTTCATATTAGAACAGCTAATAAATTGGAAGTAGATGCTACAATCTCTGGCTGGTCAAAGACAGGGCTAGAAAAAATAGTTCTTTCTAATTGTATGTGGTTTTATTGTGTTGACAAATATATTTGATGTGGCAGCAATTAAAAGTAGTCTGTTCTGATTAAGTTGAAGGGCCGAGACTTGGTTTTAATGCATGCTGGTAAGCAAGAGTCAGTAAATGGCATAAAGCTCTAGATAGGATGTTTTTTGAGAAAAATGCAGTTGCTTGAGTTCAAGTTAGTGAATAAGTAAAATTTTCTGATCAGGAAAGAGTCTATATTTTTGAGAAATTTTATACTTTGTGTAAGCTTTTTGTACACCAATACATAGAGGAGCTGTGTTAAAGTGTTGGAGTTGCTATTGTGTTATGGTACGTCGCTTGTTCTTCCTGGTTTGAATTGTTGATTCAACTCTGATAATTAGGACAAGAGAAAAATATAAATTCAATTTACCAAATAGGGTGTTTGTAGCATTGAAAAAAGTGAGAGATTAAAGATGATTAGAAGACTCTAAAATCTAAAATGTTGTTCCATAGCCTTTGAAAAGGCATAAATCTAAATAATAATATTTTTACAGGCAAAATAATATACATTATCTAAAATAAAGTATAAACTGCTGTTAAAAGAGTTTTAAAATAAATAGTATGTGCAGGTAGGTAGCTAGGATTTTAAGTATTTTTCTTCCCCTATTCTCTCTTCTCAGGAAAAATAGAAGGATTTCTTTCAAATATAAAATGAATAAATAAATACAATTGCAATGAAACATTTTGCTAGATATTTGGTGAAATTTATTTTCTTATAAGTATTTTGGTTTTAAATCTAATTGCCGTGAAATAGTTCAGATCTCAAAGTTTGTGGGGAGAAAATGTTTCAGCATCTTTGTTCATATCTGAGGAATCCATTTTAGAAGTCTATTTTCCCTGTTTGCAAAATACATTTTTATTAGATCTATGTATTTGGGTTAAGACTTACTTAAAATTACTTAATTAGGTTATACTGAAATTCTAAGTGATTTAAAAAGAAGGATTATGGTAATATGACAAAACATAACACTATTTTCATTGAAATTCTTAAATAAAGCTCTTTTAACATGCCAATTTTAAAAATCTATAAATTTAGGGTGTTAAAATAGTACAAAATATAAAAAGGTTGAACTTATAATGGAATGTATAATCCTGTACCAGCAAGCAGGGATTTTGTAGGTACGTCTGGAACATGGCAGGAGGTCATTTACACCTTCAGTTTGGTTTTGAGCATTTTTCTCATGGTATTCTTGTTCTTCTTACTTTATTATGTATATGTAAACACGTATAAAATGTTCATGGTTGATTTGTGAATGAAAAATATAGAGAAAGAGGTAGCAGTGTAGGTGCGCTAAGCTAGATGGGGACTGACTGTGTTTTCCCAGGGAATTCTGAAAAATATACCAAAGTAAAATTTACCACAGTAAAGAATAAATTCTAAGTAATTGTATTCATGCTGTTTGCATTAGTGTGGCTGTGAATTATTTTTAAAAACCTCCTGTAATTGTCCAAAAACAGTGCAACATAAAAAGGTTTTCCAATTGTGTTTTCTCTAGATAAATCAATGGGCTTGTAGGCTGATTTCAGGGGCAGGGTATTAAAAAATGAACTTTAAAAAAAAAAGGAGCTATGTGTGGGCTTTTCTCATAGATAAGTTTGCTTTTTTCTTTTCTAAAAAGGAAAACGTATATGTGTTTCTTTCCTCTCTGGTTATAGTTTGAAATAAATAATAAATTTGTAGTGAATTAATTTTTTTAAAGACGTATTTGTATGAAAAATCTGGCAATAAGTTTGTTTTACTTGTAATTTAATATTGGAGAAATAGGAGAACGTTTCTGGATATTTGCATTTGTTTCAGAGGCTGGAGCCTAAGCTAGATTTCTGTGTAGTCTGTCAGGCAGTTACACGTCTGAGCATGTTAGTCTGTAGCATTACAAATTGGAGCTATTTGACTTTTATTTGCTGCATGAGGCTTTCATTAAAAAAAATTGTAAATAAAATAGAAGAATAGAGGATGAGGTCTGCGTGTGTGCAGGGGCTGTTTCGGGGTGCAATGCCAAGCTGTGGAGGGGGGCTGGGTGAGACTCAAGGGTTTTACTCTGAGGTGCTGCTTTTGCCTGGACTTCTGCTATCTGCCCCTGTCCCTCACTGACTTCAGAAACTGAGTCTGACTCTCCGGGATATTTTTTAATTCCCCGCAGGGTAGTTGCATGCACATTGTTTGCTACTTATTTTAAGAGAGGAGCTGTAAAAGTACTGTATGTGTTAGTCACACGTATACTGAGCACCTGTATAAAGAGTGTATGGGAAGGAGGGCAGAACACGAGTATGTGACTGATTTTCACATTAGTTTCACTACAGAATAGCCTGGCATTTCCTAGGAACTTTGTCACGAAGTTTTCTGGGGGTTGTAAAGCTATTTTGGAGTTAATTTGCTTATTACAATTTGCCTCCTCAAACATAAATAAAGAATTTTTTTTAAAGCTCCACCAGCTAGAATAAGGTATTTCACCTGCTTTTTACTATCTCGCAGGGAGCGGGCAGCTGATGCCAGTAACAAACAGCTGTGGCTGGGACCAGACAGCAATCACTGCGGAGCACACAAACGCCACGCAATGCCCGCGGCCCGGGGCCCGCCGCCGGGCCGGGCCGGGCCGGGCCGGGCCGGGCCGCTCGCAGCGAGCTCCGCCGGCGAGCCGGGGCGGTGCGGATCCTCCGAGGGGCTCGGAGGCGGCGGGCCGGGGTCCCGGGCACAGACCCGCGGGCAGCGGCTCGGGGGGCCGGGCGGGCCGGCGGAGGCGGCTCGGCGCTGCAGAGGGTTAAGGCGCGGGCGCGGGGGCCGGCGGGAGCTGTAGGCGCCGCGGCATGACGGGAGCCGCCGGCAGCGGCCGCGATTCGCCGGCAGCGGCCGTGACGGAGCCCGCCCGCTCTGCAGTGGCGGGGCCGCCGCCGTCCCGTCCCGTCGGGCGGCAGCTCCGGCTCGGCCCGGCCCGCCCGCGCTCAGCCGCCGCACGGGCCCGGCCCGGGCCCGGCCGGGTGTCTCTGCGAGCGCCGGCAACGTCCCCGCGCCCTGAGCAGCGGCATCGGGCCGCGGCCCGGCAGGTCAGTGGCGGCTTTGTCCCGGAGCCGGGGGTGCTGGGGTGCCCGGCCAGTCCTGCCCAGCCCCGGTATCGGCGGAGCCGGGGCGCGGGCCGGAGCCGAGGCCTCCCGGTGCCCCTCGGTGCCGGTGGTTCCGCGCCCGGGCCCGGCCATGGGGCAGCAGCCCGGTCCGGCGGGGCTCGGCCGGAGCCGCCTCCTCCCGAGAGGGATTTGCTTCGCCTACACCACGCGGGCAGCTCGGCCGCGCTGGCTCCGGGGCTCCTCCGGCCCCGCCGCACCGGCGGCTGCTCGGGGCACCGAGAGGCTCCGGCTGCCGGGCACTGCCGGTGCGGACTTGGCTTCCACTCGCGCGGAGCTCCGCACCCAACCCAGAGCGCACAGGTGCTTTGCTTGCGCGGACAGCAAAGGCTGGCACGCCGCAGGAAGGGATCGAATGCTTTATCTGCGAGCTGCGTTTTTTCCTTTTGAGTTTTTAAAATGTGGAGTGTAAGAATTGGCGGTGCATGAAAGTGCTGCAGTTCGTTGAAGTTACGGGACAAACCCAAGAAGCAAACAGGATTTGGTAGTTTACCTGATAAAGGGGTATTTTCTCTCGGGACAAAGTGAGGAGGGAAGAAAAAGGAGGCAATTAACACTACGTTTTAATTTAATTTATGCGAATAGTGCAAAGTCAGTTTTTGTTAAACCTTCTGATATTTTAAAGTAACTGGGGATAAGTTACTGTATGTGTCAAAGGAATCACAAATAATAAATCAGTCTAAGTGGATTTAGTAAATTTTGTTTGTGTGTTTTTGTGTTCCTCTTTAGTTTGGAAGCAGATTTTGAAACAGTGGTGTCATGCATCCACAGCTGAACTTGGGGCTGAACATACTTAAACTTCTCTTGGGAATAGAAATATTCTTGTGAGGTTATTTTCCTTGCTAATAATAATCCTGAGATTCAGAAGACGAATTTATTTGTTAACTAATAAATAAAGTGCAGAGAAAATTACACTCTTGAGGTCAGACAACAACATAAAAAAGGAGTTTTTTCTATTGCTTAGAGGTATGTGAGGAGCTCTATAAACATTTTTGAGTCAGAAAGCACGTCAAATTTAGCCAACGATATCACCTGAAATACAATTCTTAAAGTATACATGGTTCTCAGAAGAAAGAAAACAAAGAAATTAAATGAATAGGTTTTTTCAAGGGAAGGTATTGTTCAAGTGGAGGAAAAAATGTTGTTTTGCTTATGAAAGAAATTGTTGAGTAGCCACAGAAAAGGGATAAGTACCTTCAGTGCCAGCGTTATAAACTCTCATGGTTTGGACTTTCAGAGTGAAGCTAGTGAAGATGGCTTGAGATGCAAAATCAGCAAGTCCAGAACAAAATAAAGCAGAAAAGATGAAGGCAAGAGAAATATGATTTATCTATTGTAAAGTGTTCTAAACTTGTTAGTGTATGGCCTACTCTGTTCCCATTCTAACCATTGCTTTTCTAGTTTTACAATAGTAGGTTTTCCTGGATTCTGTTTTTTTATTTCAGTGGCAGTGCATTAGCACTACATTTGTGCTTTAGCACAATAAATACAGTATATCCCCTTGCCAAAAATTTATAACCTACCTGCAAATACTGTACTATTAGTAGTGAAAGCTACACATAAAGGGGGTCAAATAGTTGAGGGTACCCAAAGGGAAGGACAAGGTTAGTAATAGAGATGATCTCATCTGGCAGCCATGGTACGCTTAGCTGTAGGACAATTTTTGAAGGGCAAAATAAGATCACAGAGAAATTAAAGGTGGGATGAGATGCAGCAGTTTTAGCAAAAAAAGGCTGCCAGACTACATATGTTTCATTGTGAGGAAGCTTTGATACTGTACCATGTGAGGAAATCATGTAAAACAAAAAATTTGGATTAATTGCATTGTACGGTGACTTTGGAATGAACTGACAGATAATATGTGGAAAGAGACTATACTGATGGAAAGAAGGCTGCAAAGTGGAGGTTTTGAGGACTATTGGAATTCTCTCCTTAGTGACACTAGTGAAAAAATACAACAATGATAAAATCTTACGACACAAAACTGGTGGACTGTATTGATAGGAGGAGTGGAATATCCATGTGCTGACATGATGAACCAAAACTGAGATTAATAGAATTAGATGAGATTTAGTGATGCAAATAGAAACTGATCACAATTTATTCTGTCACTTCAGTGACAGGTTGGTAGTTGGTGTAACAGCAGCAGAATGATAGCATGTGACATGGCTGAGAAAATAATAATAAAAGAAGATGGTGTCCTAGGAAGTGTTAAGGGATATATTTCCTCTATGTACAGAAAATATTCCTGTCAGAGTATGGCATTAGTAAGACCTTATGTGGAGCCCAACTATCACCCACATTCAGATAAATGGGTTCAAACAGAAGGATGGAACAGATGCAGAAAAGGACCACATGGATGTTAAGAGGAATAGAGAGCCTTTACAGGAAGACACAGAAGTGACAATTACACTGTTATGTAAGGAAGGAAAATAATTATATGAGCTCAAGATTAGAATAAAGCAAAACAAATGTGTGTAAAAGGGATAATTGTTAGACTTTGCTGGAAATTGCAGGAAGAGCTCTAACAAACAGACTGACGATATTCTGGAATGGTTTCAAATGAGAAACAAGTTTAAATTTCTTTTAGAAGGAAGTTTGATATATCCAGGAAAGAGCATCAGTGTTGGGTTCTGTACAGTGGTGAGGAATTTGACGTGGAAATCCTGGATATCCCTTCCCATAATACTGCATTCTTGATTCTTGTGTATCAATGGATTCTGAGATGGATATGTTGGTTGTTTTTGCTCTGAACTCTGTGTTTGGTTTGGACACTATGGCTGAATTCATGCAGTGCTACCTGACTTCTTGTGCTTAATGGGCTACTTATAGGAGTCTTAATGGAACAATTTTTAGGTAAGTTTTTAGGCATCTAGGCCAAGACAATGTTGCATTCTAAAATGTATGTATAATCAGCTTCCTTGGGATGTTACCTGAGACCTTGTGTCCTTTTTTTCCCCTGCCTTTTGGATAGTATATATTTTACATACAGCACTTAGTGCAGTACTGAAGAATTAACTGAAGAACCTAACGATTAAAGAACATTGCTTTTCAGCAAGGCTGCTGTCCTCTAGGTAGACAGTTTAGATTTTTACTTGGCATTTTGGCTTTTGGGAAATCTCCACAGGGCAGGGAGTTAAGCAATCATTGCTCAGTCATCCATTTTAATTTTATTTTTCAGTCCACAGCTGTAGCAGATTATTCAAAGAGAAATAATTTATTTTAAGGAGGTAACTTTCTGTTCAGTGGTCAATAGAAAATTAAGTGATAGAATCAATCCAATCATCAATTTATGCATTAAGTGCTACCACTAGCACTTTCAGTAGTTGCTGAAGCAAAGAAGTGAATTGATTATAAGAATTAAACTTCCTTCATATGCCTAGAGGTGAACAAGTCATGAAAACGGCTCATTTGGTATGAGACAGTATGAACGACTAGGAAGAAAGAAAGAAAAAAGAAGTAGTATTTCTATCTGGTTTCTTGTACTTTTTTCCTGTAAAGTGGGATTTGAGCTATAGACATTTATCTTGAAACTTACAGGACAGAAGTGTGAACACAGAGTGATGGTGTGAGTGTGGAATGAAACATGCTTGGTTGTTATTTAAGCCAGATTCCTGAAAGTTATTTTCTTCTTCCATTATAAGACTGATTATTTAAAGAAAATAATTCCTATTCATAGCAGATTCTTTTTTAACCTTTTTGAATTGGAAGAAGTTGTGGACTTCCCATTGAAATGGTAGGAATTCTGTGTTAGGCCTTCAGCAAAGAAACATTTTCTGACCTGTTTAGCCCATGTCATCCTACAAGGCTTTCTGCCACTAGAAAAGGTACTTCCACTGGTGTCACTTGTTTCTAGTCCTCCTGTGCTGTATTATGGCTATGGAAATAACACTGATTGGGGGAGCAAAGTCATGGAAGTGAGCAGCATTCACATGATAAGGCTGATAATGACATTTGCGTGACTCAATGACAAAAGCAGAACAGCACATATTTTAGTATTAAACAAAAATAAGGTGTTACTGCTGTCTGTCACTAAGGGCTGGCCAAATCCATTCTTTTGCAGGTTTTATGTAACCACATCTGGAGGGAACATGTACGTGTGCCTGCTCACGCACATGCACGTATAAACATACATCTGTTTTGCTGCAGGTGCTGCAAATGAGTAGAAGTAACAGAGAATCAATATATATGAATACTGGGAACCCACACACTGAACAGAATCAGAGTATGGCAGGGCTTGGTTTGGTGTCAGTAGACTCAGAAAGGGAGGGCTCACTGCAGCCTGCAGCAGTATTCTTTGGGTTGTTTTTTTAATTGCTCATTGTTTGGCTTTAATTATTTTTTGTAGGAATACTTTGGAGCCAGGCCATTGCTTCTGTAAATCTTCAGATTTCCACTGAAGTTGCCAGAGGGGGATAGCATTTTACACACCTTAAATAGATAGCCTACTATGTGAAAACATTATTATGGCATCTTTGGTCCTACATTGTTTTTCAACAATGGTGGTTTTGAAATGTCAATTTCAATGGTTAAATATGCAATGGTAAAAGTCTTAAGGAAGTCTGGAATCTAAACATTTTAAAGAAATACAGAGAATTGGATGAAACATATGCAGATGCATACTCGGGATTTAAAGATAGATAGCAATCTGAGATACTTTTTTTGCTCACAGTTGCTGTCCCCAGTAGGGTCTTAGTTGAACTTTCTGCCCTCACATTTCCCCTAGGAATGATACATTTTGTTTAACAGGCATTCAAAGTGGAATTCATGTTTGTAAAAAACTGGGAGTAGCCAAGACGAAGTCTTCTACAAGTACTGAGTTTTGGCAGGGGCACCAGAACTGTCTGGCGTGTGGACCTTTAGGCCAACACTTGAGGACTACAGATTTTTTTAAAAGGATAAGAAGACAGAGATTTAGTACCAAATATAGTCCTCCATCTGGGTCGGAAAGTGCATGTATCATGCAAGACGACAGTGTTTGCAGTGATGTGAGTGCCATGCATTCCTGAACTTTGTTCATTTTATGTGGACAAGTGTCTGTATCACTTATCTACAGTTACAAAACTAGGTAGAAGAGACATCAAGGATTAAACAATGAGCAAACAACATTTCATTTCTAGAGATGATATTTTCAGCTCAAATCAATATATTTCAGTGGGTTGTAGGATTGAAAAAGGGTAATCTGTTGTCATGGCCATATTATGTCTCTAGTAAATACTTGGATTTGCAGCATGCATGACTACTAGAATTTTTTTTTTAATAGTACTTGATTTCCAGTATTGCTGGTGATTATAAAACCCAATCCCCACTTTATATGCATGTCCTACTAAGCCTTTCCTTGGTTTGCATAGTAAGAGGATCTGGAGCCCCCCATTGCAATCACTTCTGAGAACTCTAAACAGGGAATGGCATCAAAAAGCGCAATTTTGAGTTTTAACAGGAGACACACTTGTCAATCCATAGTAGATAAAAGTGAAAAATCCCTGTATCAAGTACTAGAAGTTTGTAGTACCATTTGTATTGTTTCCTGTTTGAAAGGTAAACTGAACAGACCTTCTTATAAAGAGCAGCGTACATCTGCATGGCACATTGAATTTGCAATCTGTAGACTCAACTAGTTAATATGCCAGCTACTGTTTGGCTTTAGGTTCTGTTTGTCTTCCATTGCTACATTTGCCTGGAGTGTTTTGTTGTTGAGAAATTTGGGACTTTATTCCCTGAAGCAGGCTAGATTGCTGATGCCCAAGGTTTATTTGAGAAGCAAGGAACGTATAGCTGTAGCACAGTGTGGTAACCTAAAATGCCTGGCTGGCTCAGTTTCAAAGCTAAGACTTGAGCTTCGCAGCTGCCTTGTGTTTGCAGGTTTCTGCCCTTCTCATAGAAGCTATACCCAAAAGTGTGCAATTGCAGATGAGTGACACATCAGTCAAAATTTGTGCTTAGTTGGTTATTTATTATGGCACTTAATGTTACCAATTCCATCCCTTTTTCTCAACCTGCTGTTCTCTGGCTCCCTTGTTTCCTGCAAGCTCTGCAGAGCAGGGCTGATCAGCTCAAGGTGCCTTATGTTAGGCCCACAGGAGTCCTGTACTGTAGGAGCTGACAGCAAGAGCCAGCTGGCAAAGCCCAAGTCTGAACCATGGAACCCCCAGCACCTGCTTCATGTGTAGCATGCCAGGAAGGAGGAGGGTTATATAAATACCTGCTTCTGTAGTTGCCCAAATACACCACTTCAACATATGCTGAAGATGTATGCACAGGATGGGGCTGAGAATGTCTGCTCCAGCCCCTCCAGTCCCACTGACTTTCCCCTCCCATCATTACAGCTGAAAGAAAAACAGTTACCTTGCCACTGAGGCACTGGAATAGGTTGCCCAGAGAAGTTGTGGATGCTCCATCCCTGTGAATGTCCAAGACCATCTTGGATGGGGCTCTGAGAACCCTGGCCTTGTGAAAGGCATCCTTGCCCATGGCAAGAGAGTTGAAAATACAGGATCTTTAAGGTCCCTTCCAACCCAGGCAACTCTGGTTCTATGATGTGATGATTCTGTGATTCTGTGTGCCATGAAATAGCTTCAGCCAAAATCACCTCACCCTGCACACCTGCCATGCTGTTAAAGCACTTTTCTGCCCTTTCAGACAGAGGAGGGAAACCTGAACTCCTGAGTGAATGCTAAATAGTGCATGGAATTGGAGAGCTACCAAGGAGATGGAGTAGGTGCCTAAGGAAAAGCTGAAGATCTGGAATGCCACAGAAGGTACCTTGCCTCGCCCCATCATTACAATGAGATCAGCAGTTGATGAGGTGTATTGAGAGATTTGTTGGCATGTCTGAATGGTTCTCGTAGACACCTTAACTGAATGGACAATGAAGATTATATTCTTAGGTATTCTAATTTTTGCCTTCAGTGTGCATGGGGCAGGGTGTCTTAATTTGGGGCTAGGACTTAGGCAAAGATACACTGCAGTGCTCAGCACTGCAGCAGCCAGGTCCTTTATTGAATCTGGCCTCACTGCAATAAGTGTGAGTAATGGTAAGAGAGACATGAGAGCAGAATGACTGTACAGGGGGGAGCTGCTCTTGAGTTGCTAGAGTGAAAAACATATTTGTAAAGGGATAAAATTAGTGCTGGGTACAAGAATGCCATTTAATGAAACAAATGACTACACTGTTCAGTGGCAGGAAAAAACATGACACGTCACAGATAACCAGCAGTCCCCCTTTCCTGTCTCAGGGTTGCTGCAGAGCAGACGGCATTTCTGGCAGCACTGGGCAGGCTGGGATGAGAAGTGGATCCCAGTGCTGAGGCTTCCTGAGTGCTGACCAGTGCTGAGCACAGGTCTCACTGTGGGGACAGTGAGGGACTGTCTTGGGTCCTCACCGGTGGACTTGTAGTGCAAAGTGTTTTCCTTACGTGCTGAGAGAGCGGGGCAGGAGGGAGACATGGGAATGTCACTGAGATGTGTATCACTTCTGAGGTACTTGTGGCAGCAACATCACAGAAAAACTTCATAATAAAAATCGAATGTTTCTTCTTATTGGGTGCTCTTTTATCCTCTATTCATTGTGTTTTATTGCTCCTGTGCTGTATTTTTGGTTTTTTTGTCTCCTTTTGATGTTGTCATCTATGTAGTTCTATGTCCCTATCTTTTGTTCCTTATTGTTGCATTTTTAGTCATGCATGTCACTACTGCTTTAGCTTTCCTATACACTTCTCTCTCATCTCTGTTGTGATCTGCTGTACAGCTTAGCCATGATCCATATGATGGGGCGATGTAGCTAAGCTGTGGGCTGACCGAGGTTTGCATCACTGCCCTGACCCAGATTGCATCTGCAGTCATCTGGAACTGACTACATGCCTGAACTGATAAAAGAGGCTGTGGAAATATGGATCTCTGGGGCCTTGGCAAGGCATCCTCATATGTGTATGCATGTTGATGTGTGAGTACACTCAAAATGCCTGTCTGTGCCATCAGCTCAGCCAACTGGGTGCTCCTTTGGGATTTGCAGCAGCTTATAGCAAATGGGAACAGACCTGCAAAGCTCATGAGAATACTAGGATTAACCCTGGAAAGGGGGATATGCCTGTTGCTCAGGAATCTGTGATACCCATAAGCAAGAGATGCAAACCCCCTCATTTGACCTTTGTATAATTCTTTCCCTTCTGGTGAGTCCCTTTCCCTGCCTGTGACTCATCTTCTTCTAAATGTAGACTATAAGCCTCTCAGAGGACTGCCTTTCTCTCCAAGCAGGGTAGCATAAAAAATAGCAACACTTTTGAATAACCAGCATGATTTTTTTAACACAAAAAAAAATGGAGGGCTGCCTTGCTTTGTCTGTGCTTCTTTGTCAAGGGGTTTATCAGTCCCCCTGAGAGAACAGTGGGGCAGGTTCTGTCCTGACCTGCAGCAAGAAGGTTGTTCAGACATGAGGTCTCAGAAGCAGCACAACTGCAGTGCAGTGGGCAGGAGATGTTATAATAAAAGATGGGTAGACTCTGACAGAAACCAACAAATCCTTCGTAGCACCCACATACTTCCTTCCCTTTTTCTGACCCGTTTGTAATTGGAAGCATTCCCTTGGTAATGCAGTGCAGCTTACATGAATGTCCAGTAGGAAGTTGCCTGCTCCCTTCAGCAGGTTGCCCAGGGCTCGTAGCCTTTCCACCAACCTCTACATGCACTGTCCAGCTGCCCAGTCCACTTTTGTTCTAAACACTTGGTGAGTCTGGTGACCATTGTTACCTTCCATCCTTTGCTTCAGCTTTTCTACCTTTTCTCTTTCCAGATGCTTGTGCCATATCCACCTGTCCTCTGGAAGACAAAAGAGTGAAGATCAGCAGTGTGTCATTTATTCTGCAAAAACTGAACTGATGAGAACTGCTGTGACAGCCAATAGAAGAAATTAAAAATTAAGGAAAGGCTGGTATGGAACAAGAGGAAAATTATCCCAGCATTTTGCACTTTTTTGTAATCAAAGTCCTGTCTTTGGAGGGTGTTATATCAACTACACACTTGGTGAGGCCTGTAAGGATTTCCCTTGTGTAACACCTGCACGATTTAGCCTTAGCGTATCACACTATTCTAAAAGTGATGTCCAGTAAGCAATAGGTGGACTCTCTTGGGAAAAATGCAGGAAGAAAACTTGGTGAGAGCTGGATCCTCTGCAGTGTCATCTCTCATGAAGGATTGACAAAAGGAAGAAAAAAAAAAGTGAACTAATACTGGAAGGATGGATTGGATGCTGCCTGTTGTAGAACAGGATAAAATCCTGTGACATGTTCCTTCCTATTAGGTGGGATACTACTGCTTATGATAAAGATTGATTTCTAAAAATCCATTGTAAAGCTATAGGTCAGCAAATAAGATAGTGACTTGACTAATTTTTCATTTCAAAATGTATGATAATTTCATGCCTTTAACTGACATCAGTGCAGTGTGTTGTTGAATCCAATGAAATTTGAATCCCACTATGAATTTGTTTTCCACAAATAGATTATGAACAGAAGCCTTTGATTTCTATTATGTATTTTTGAGTGAAAAGCTATTTTGTGTATATATATTTAATATCAGGAAATGTAGCAAATGTTTATTTTTATTAAACTAATAAACGGGATAAAACCTATCACGGCAAATTTTCATTTAATTTCTTTGGTCTTTTTTCCTTTAGCATAGTCAAAAGATCATAAAGTGCAGCCTCAGGTATCTCAGGATGCACAGTTCTTTGCATCAGGTAGTTGATGTCATACTAGTGTGTCTTGTTTCTAAATGAGAGATATGAAGTGGCAGTAGTGCTTGTAACTGCATTCACATGGCACCATGGTCAGGCTGTGGCCTCAAGGTGCAACACGCAGGGTAGTGCTTACCTGGAACAATTAAGGTGGCACCTTACATGAGCTCTTTCCAAACTCTGAAGTGGGAAAAGGTTAGGAAATGTAGAATGAGATGAGGAAAGAGAAATTGTAGAGCACTTGTAAATCCATCGAGTTTACAATGAGTGGTCTGCGGGAGTGGAGCTGCAAGGGGAAGCCAGGCCTGAGGTGTGCCAGGATTTGGCAGATAAGGCTCCTGGAGGCTTCCACTGCCATCGGCATGGCATGTGGCAAGTAACACAAAGGAGTGGATGAGAGGAACATGGCTGCAGCCTGGCAGCTGGTACAGTTTGGAGATCTCCAGCAGTTGTGGCTGGATTTGGGTATGACCTATTTGCCAGTCCAGGAGAGAAAGTAAAGGCAACATTAAGATTACCCCCTGTGCTACTTTTTGATAATAACTCAGATGGATGCCAATCTCAAAAAACCCTAATCCAGAGAAGGTTTCTTACTGCTTGAACTAAGGTCATTGTCAAATAAGTGGTATAACAGGCTTGTTTTCTAGAAAAAAAAAGTTGGCACTGGAAGTTGCAAGGGGCTCCCTTTAAAAACAGCAGTCCCCTATACCTGAACCGTTCTTCTCTGACGTTTTAATTGAGCCACACCTTACATGAAATTGCCACTAATTGTCCATGTTTCTCAGCCACTCCTGCCGTTTCAGCCTGTTGAGGCAATACAGCTCAACCATGAGCTATTTCAGGGCTTCAGCCTCCTACAGCCTACATTGTCCCATCTTCTCTCCGCGCCAGGCTCCGCCTGGGAGGGAGGGAAAAACCCGGGTCTGTAAGTGAGGTAGGGTAGCACGGCCCTAGCTACCCTCCTAGCTGGAGGTGGGGCAGAAGGCAGCAGAGCTTTGTGCCTTCCACCACAATGGAAGGAGCCACCGACGCAGTGTGTGTGTGTCATTTCAGAGGCGTCTCCCACACTCCTCCCAAGTCTAGGCGTTCCTAACCCCATCGTGTGTGGGGCTTTGGGAGGGAGGTCGTGTCAAGCGGGCAGGTGAAAGGCGACCGGGCAGGGCAAGTCAAGGCATGGCACTACAAGTGGTGAGCTCAGGGGAAACATTTCAGGAAGTCTCCGTTGACCCTGGATCTTATCGAGGAAGACAGATGGAGGCCGGCCAGACGGGACCGCGCTGCCAGCCCCGCGCTGCGTGGGGTGCAGTGGCAGCTGGGCTGTGGTGCTCAGCCCCATTTTCCCGGGATGGACTTTCCCCGGTGGGGGTTCCCTCTGCCCAGGGGTCCCTGCGGACCCGTGCCGTGCCGTGCCGTGCCGTGGGGATCGCGGCGCGCCTCCGTGGGCGAGCGCAGTGCGGGGCTGGGGGAGGGGAACCCAGGGACACATTCGAGTGCGAGGCGGAGCCTGAGCATTTTATGAATGGGCTCATATGACGTCAGCGGGGCGGGAGCGGAGGCTCCGTGTTCCACCAGTCCTGAGGGGCTCCTGGGCGCTGGGACCAATGGACGTGCGGCGGCGGGGTGACGGCCATGCCCGCTGGCCAATGGCGGCGGGAGAGCGGTGCCGACCACGTGGGGCGCAGGCCGCAAGTAGTACGGGGGCGTGTGGCCGCTCGCCGCCTGCCCCCCCCTTCCCGGCGCGGCGGGGCCGGGCGGCCCCAGGCGGGCGCGCCCGGCCGCGTTGCCGGGTTACCCGGTGGCTGAGAGGCCCCTCCGCCAATCGCGGCGGGGCGGGGGCGGGCGCCGTGACGGCTGCGGGGCGGCGGTGGCCGGGAGGGCTCAGTCCGGCCGCGGCAGCCTCCGCAGCATGGTGGTTCCAGCCGCGCTCCCGGCCGCCGGCCTCTTCTACTGGGTGGGCGCGCTGGGCGCTCTCTACGCGGCGGCGCTGGCCTCGTACCGCCTGCTGGCCGGGCTCCGCGTCTGGGTGCTGGGGAGCAGCTCCGTGGGGCCGGCGCTGGGCGCCTGGGCAGGTGAGTGCGCGTCCCGGCCGCCCCCGCCGCGGCTCTTTCTCCGGTGCCCCCCGGGCCGGGGCAGGGATCTCGCGGGCGGGAGGCCTCGGCCAGGCGGGGAGAGGGACGCGGGCGGCGGGGACCGGCCCTCGGGGGCACCGGGCAGTCTGGCGGAGCGCCCGTGGGGCAGCAGCGGGGTCCCGGGCGGGCCGGTCTGGGGCAGAGGCTGGGGGGCTGGCGGGTGCTACTATTCTGCCGAGTGGGCCCCCGGCGAGCCGGGAGCCGCTCTCACGCTCCCCACGAAACGTGCCGGGCCAGAGCATGCCGGTCGGGTCGGTCGTGAGAGAAGCGCCGATGATTGGGACTCGCGGGACGGCGGGCGGGCGGGCGCCCGGCGGGTTTGAACTCGTGTCCCCGGGTTGGCCGAGCGCGCAGCGCGGCGCTGGGGCCGCTCCGCAGTTCCCGGCGCGGCCGGTCGGTGCGCGCCGCCCCCCCGCGCCGGGCTCGCGCCTCAGCGCTGACGTCAGGCCCGCCCCGGCCCCGCCGCCCCCGGAGGAGCGCGGCCGCTCCCGCCCGGCACCGGTAGCAGCGGCGCTGTCCCGGGGCGAACGGCGGCACCCGCGGGCAACCGGGAGAAGAGCTGGGCTGGAGGGCCCGGCAAGAGCCCTGCGAGAGCGGCGGGAGAGCTGCGGAGCGGCGCCAAACTTATGCCGACCCTGCCCGCTCCTGCAGCTCGGCCCCTGCTCGGTCCCGGCCGCGCTCGGGAAGGGGCTGAAGCGCGAGTGGCCCTCCCTGTGGAGGGGGGCACAGTACCGGTGGCCGGGAGGGGGTGGCGACAGCATTTAGCTGGCAACCCCGAAATACAGGAGCGCTGTGGAAGTACAGCAGAGGCTATTACCGGGGTATTTTTAGTGCCGCGCTGCTCTAACTTTTCTTAGTACTTCGATTCTTGGTCATAGGAGCCACGCAGGGCAAAGACAGTTTCTTCCATCTGAGTCTGCCGCTGCCACTCTGGCCTTTAAGTAATGATGAGACGATGGAAAGGGCTTCTCTGCTGGTGTAACAGATCAGCCAAGGGAATTTTCAAATCCATTCTTGTAAAGTTATTGGAAAGGGCAAGTTCTGTGCCTGATCGGGCGTTGATAAGGGACCACAAAAATAATTGTAGTGTGTAAGAGGTGTGAGTTTAAGATGAAATGACAGTTTAAAGGCTGCAAAAGGTACTTCCTTTCCTCAAGGGGAGTAGGAGGACATCAAGTGCTCAGCTGCTGCAGCTGCTTCCAGGTGTCAGACCTGTAGGCAGAGCAGCCCTGCAACAAGCAGGTTGATTGCTAGGCTTATGACTGTGCTCCCCCATAACCTCTGTTGCAGCCAACATGGAACTGGTATGTGAGCACATGCCTGGGTAGTTGAATGTCTGCTTGTGTGAGACACCAGTAAAGCAGCAGTGCTGCTCGCATCATACATAATTCCAGAACATGTCATGAATCCTGTGTGCACAGGCTTGAAGTGCAGCAGCTGTGACTTGGATAAGTAACAGCTTTACATACAAATAACTAAGGCCCAGGTCTTCCTTTTAGCTGGAGAAATGTTATGCCTGTTAAAGATATGGCTGGCACAGGACACCCAAACCTTCTTTGACTTTCTAATATTGGGTTTGGATATATTACTGCATTATCAGTTGCCTGCTGACTTGTGGTGCATCACAGAAGTCTTGGTAGCCACTAGAACTTGTTTTGCATTGTTTTAAACATGGAAGTTTGCAGTGCTTGAGCCAAATGCCAACTTATCATCCAGAGCCACAAACTGTAAACAGCAGATCTTCCCGCAGTCACATCCTCAAACATCCAGAGAACTGCAGTGCAAATGTCCTCTCTCACTGTTTTGTACAAGTGCAGGCAGCAGTGGGCCACTGTATGTGGCCAGTGGCTGCTCACAGAAATTGTTCTTTCTCTGCCAAGATTGTGATGTTCAGGGGAGGGAGGAAGAGGAGCACTGGCAGCACAGCTGAACTCCGTGTTTATTGCCGTGCTCTAAAATGGGAGCATTGCTGCAGTGTCAAGGAAAATGGAGAAATCGGGTGACAATGCCTGCTTTCACTGTAGGAAGACATGTGGCCATCATGAGTTAGCTGTTGTGTGTCCTCAGTGTGCAGCTGATGCAGGTGAGATGCTGCTTTATTGGGACAGCTGCTGTAGTCTCCAGCTGAAATGAAGAGAGGTTGTCTTAGTTTGAATAAGCACTGGGATGGTTTGCCCTGAAGTATGTTGAGGCTGGGCAGGCTCTCTGTTTTCTCTCATGTACAGGAAGATGGAGGCACAGCTGCAGATATGTTGGGTCACCTTGATTAGCAAATTAATAATGCGTGCTGTAGGAAGAAATGCATTTCCTTTTTTTCTGATATTTAAAAAAACAGTTGTTTTGATGCTAATTGGGCACTGTAGTTACTGTGTCAATGTATTCTTTCTAGTGCACAACTAAGAGCAACTTTATAAATACCACAAAACACAAGTCCTTTTGGAAGGACTTCTTACTGCCCTTTAACTCTCCTGCATGTTTGAAATTGGGTTGCAAATTTTTCCTTGTTTTCTAGAGTTTTTTTTTGGATGCATATATGCAGTTGCTTCTGTCTGTGCTTGGTCTAATTTCTGGTATTTAAAAAGAGGGGGTGTGAGGAGGAGGAACCACTATGTGAACTGGTAATGTACTCTAGGAAAACTAGGTTTGTACTACTTGAAATAGCACCTCTTTTGACAAAAAGTTAGTTTTTCTACAGTCACAATTATGTGTGAAGGTCTGTATGCAGCTTTTCTGGTTTTCTCTCAGTATAACTTGCATCTGGCTTGG